GCTCCCCAGGGTTAACTTTCTCACATGTTCTTCCTTCCTCCATCAATTCCAATAAGCTTTGTTAGTGTCATCCACCAAACAGAAGTGAATGGCTTCAAATACTGCCACTGCAAAGATCATTAACACTATAGTCACTAAAGCACAGCACACATGGTCTGAAAATACCTCTTCCTGTAGCATTTGCCTTATTAAGCGCTGCACAACAAAGAAATGGAAACATATGAATATTCTAATCTATATTTTAAAGTGTGTGCACCACAATTAAAAAAGATAAATTATTTGCTGTCGCCATAATCATAAATTCAGTGTTTGCTAGGAGTCAGCATTAAAATAGGAGTGCTGTATACAAAAGCACAGATGCAGTGGATAGTTAAAAGGCTGAAAGGCTTAATTCAAACTTTCTAGTCAATTGTGAACGCAGATGCAATATGTAATTTTAATAGCAGGTTCATAAATATATATAAAATGATTTTACATTTTTGTGGAAGCAAATAATAGGCAATGAAGGGGCCTAAAGATCCTCAGGCAGCATCCAACTGTTTACGTACTCCAGTAGTGCAAATATTACTGTGATAGTGGAAGCTAGGCTCCAAACAAGGCAGAAGAAGCGCAGTCAACTAGTTATGTTTGAGCGATGTCTTATGTTTGTTGTGGTATGTTATGTACAGCTGTTATACAGCCAGTTAAAGCTGCAGCTTCAGAACCTGCTCCAAAGGTAGCCCTGCATAGAAAGCATTGCAGTAATCCAATCTGGAGATACTAATGCAAGTTACATTATCTAAATGTATGCATTTTTGTACACAGTTTCTCAGATATGCCCTTTTCCCTATTATACACTTTTTGGTTTACATTTTCTCCCATTGCACCCATTCTTGCGCACGCTTGTTGATTTTCAAACTGCATTGCAAAATTCTGGAGCGTGCCAATATCTCTAGATCACAGCATTCTGGTTCAGAAAATATGTACTTGGTTCAGTGACATGAAAAAACAAACCAAACAACAAAACTGTTATTGAACTTTAAGACTGGGCCACTTTCTCATGTAAAAGAGAAAACTAGCATGGTGGTTTAGTTTTACACAGCTGATATGGGGATCCCCGGGGTAACTCAGGTTATTTCCTAATATTCCAAACAGCTGCTCATTGCAAGCTTGACTGAATATCCTGAAATGATGCTGGAGTTCAATAGTCCTAACATAAGAAATATGACACTGGAGGGGATCCTGGGATGTACCTACTGAATTGTGAACTGATTCTTTACTGCTCCCAAGAAGATATGAGGGAACAAATGATGCTTGCATTTGCCCAGATTCTGTGAGCATCACCTTATTGCTTATTTATCTTCTGCTTTTCATGAGCAGTTATGATCACCGTTCAGTTTTCATGAACAAGAAGATTTCATGAAGCAAAGAATGGCACAGGAGAAATATGATTATTTGAATATTTTTCAAAGTTGTGCAACTTCCTCCATCAGGTGAGAAACTGAGAAGATTTTTTGAGAAGATTTTCAGCACATGTTCAGGAATTTATGTACATTTTGGAGAACACATTCCCCGTTTGTATTTGCATTCAAAGTTGTGAATGGGGCATCATCAACCCTTCTGCAAGGTCAAACAAAACTATTCATGTTCTTGTTCCCAAGTACTTTTCTCAAGCTGCCACAGCTTGTGTGGTCAGCCCCATTCTTGATCAGTACAGACTATCAGAGATATGATTTAGCCAAAGAATTCAACTAGAAAATATCCTCAGAATATGCCATGTTATTTTAATTCATTTTTCTTTTATCCAATCTCTCCTCCAAGACCAGGATGGTTATCCCATTTCATAAACACAACAATGATATATGGTAGGCTAGTGAGAGAGAGAGAGAGAGAGAGAGAGAGAGAGAGAGAGAGAGAGAGAGAAGGGTTTTGAACTTCATGGCTAAGCAGGGGCTGCCCACAGGTACAAACGAAAAATTTTACTACTATCCACACAGTAGTGAATTCAATTGGGACTTGCTTTTATTTTTTTAACCCCTCCAGGGAAGGGTAGAATTGCAGCATAAAAATCCCTCATTCTGAATTGTGCTAAATCTAAATTGAATTGGGGCTGTGCAAGCTTTTACTCAAGAAAGCATGTGTATGATTAACAGAAGAATTAATTTTGCCTAACATTCAAGCTCAACACTTTCTGGATATTAGAGCAGGAGTGGACAATGTGTAGCCCTCCAGATGTTTGGACTACACCTCCCATCATCCTTTGCTATTGACTAGGCTGATTAGATCTGGTGGGAATCACAGACCAAAACATCTGCACAACTACAACCTTATTCACTGGGGTGCTCTCTGGATGGTGTGGTTTACAAAGTTGCTCCTAGTGCAGGGGTCAGCAACCTTTGACTCTCAAAGAGCCATTTGGACCCATTTCCCACACAAAAGAAAACACTGGGAGCCACAAAACTCTTTTGACACCTAAAATGAAGATAACACTGCATATATCGTTTTTTACCTTAATGCTATGTATATCTTCATTATGATTTAGCTGCAGCTCTTGTTCAGTCACTAAAAACTGTTATTTTTAATCATACATTATAAACTAGTAGGACTCCTTTCATATATTTTGAATAGAACAGCTTCCTGAAGAGTCAAAGTCAGTGCTAAAGGGCTGCATGCATTAAACAGCAAACCACATAAGTTCATCAGTAGTAAAAGCAAATGAATCTATCCACGTATCATTAAACGTTTGGTTTTCTTCAGAAACTTTTCTTCGATTTACCCATGGTTGGCCTACTGGGGGGGGCGGGGGGGAGTCGCAGATATAGGTGTATTTAGTGACTGATTAGCAGATAAACAGTCAAGTGCTGTGAATTGTGACAGGTCCCAAGCGCAGCTTTTATCATTCAGAGGAAGGAGATTACATTGGGACAAAGAGAATCTTTTCAGCAGCGTCTCGTTTCGTGTAACATGAGAGGCTGCAGGAAGCTTGTTCCACTCTTTCCCTGCACAATAGCAGAGGAATGTAGCAATTTACTTAACCAGCTAGTGCAGCATTCCTGAGTGGATGCCTCATCATCACCTATTGGTATTTTGTAACTCGGAGCCTGATCGGTGGCTGTGACACGTATTTTGGGCGATGGAGCCACAGCAGAGGGATTCAAGAGCCACATGCGGCTCCAGAGCCGCAGGTTGCTGACCCCTGTCCTAGAGTCTTGGCAGTAGTGATGGACATAGTAATATAGTAGTAAGTATGTGAAGAGCTATCACACAAATGAGGGCAAAGTTTTGTTCTCTGATACCCAAGGATCAGAGCTAAAGGGCTAGGAGGGTAGATTCCAGTTGCACATCAGGAGAAACTTACTGACAGCAAGAGCAGTTTGACCGTCATCAACAACCTTAGCTTTCCTGAGAGGTCTTCAAACAGAGACTGGACAGCCATCTGTTTGGGATGCCCCAGCCTTGGGATTCCTGCACTGAGTGGACTAGATGGCTTACAAGGGTTCCGACTTCATGCATCCAAGATTCAAGACACGACTGAGCAGATGTCCCTTGAAGATGGATTTTCACTTAAACACGTTGATTGAAACTGTTAAATCTTACATACAACATTCAGTCAAGAAATAGAAATCAGCTCTGGGTACTGCTAAAACAGCATTCATTTCCTCACAAGTGAGCAGCAGAAAAGAAACATGTGGCATAAGATGAATCTATATATGCCCCCAGGCCACAAACAATTGGAGAGTTTTGTGCTTCAAAAAGCTTAAGCAAGGTTATTTAATTTGGATTACATTATTATGTATCATAGTAGTGTCACCTGGCTCAGTAGCGGATGGATCATTAATATGGTACATTCTTTCCCATATAATTGAAAGAGCAACATCAGCTTTCTCCAACCTGGTGCCTGCCAAATACACCTTCAGGCATCCCTTCTGATCAGAATCATGCCACTCTGGATAACATAAAGGTGACCATATTCTCCTGCAATTTCATAAAAGACTGTACCACATCTTATCAAGTCTACCCATCCAACAGATAAATATATGGATATATGTTCAAGTTGCTCCAAGATTCAGTGTGGAGCAATGACCTGAAAGAAATCCACAAATGTATGTTCTTTATTTAGAAGTACACATGAAATGCACGCGCGTGCGTGCGCGCGCACACACACACACACCAGGCTAGTAGTCCTTCAGTAGGCTTGCTGACTAGCTAATACTTCATTCAATTAAAGCTTCTCTTCTAACTTGCCACATTTCCTGTAACACGAAGGTGTTAGACCTCACAACACTGGCTTCCTATAAGGGAATATACTAGCAATGACAACTTTGTCTCAACACTCATTCCAACATTTGGTCAACCAACCTCAACCTATATTAGTGATGTGAAACAGGAACTTTGAATATTTGTGTATGTATGTGTGACCATATATGTATATATATAGATTATTATTAATACTTTCAAGACTGGTTCAATGTATCTCTGATTGTTATGATGTAACTATATGTTTGTTCCTGTTGCTGTTGTTTGTTTTGTGTTTTGTGTTTTTGTTTTGTTTTGTTTTTCCCCTTTTCCTATATATGTGCTTGTGATTCTACTTACTTTTCATTCTCAGTGGTTTGTCTGGTTTCATTGAAAGATTGTGAAAATCAAATCAAATTATAAATATATATTTTTAAAAACCCTAACCTTGCCCTCCAGTGTTCTTCGAATCACCAGACTCTCCTCCCTGTCCTTCCCTGCCAGCACCTCCACTAAGTGTTATTTCTTGGCCTTTGTCTGTTTCCCCCATTCTAAAGAGTCCAAAGGCTTAATCACCATCTGTAAGACCTTCAGTACGCTTTCAACAGGCACGTTTGCCTTCAGTCCTAACCACTGCAGGAATGTGGCCCCAAAAATCTCTCTCAGATGGAATTTGGCCCTCAGACCAAAAGAGATTCCACTGACGTGCCCTCACATGTGATTCCAATTATGAATACTGGATCAAATGTATGTGGCCATTTCGTGCAAACGGACCACTTACTCACCTTCCACTTCCAGAAAGGCTGGCTTTGAGTAGGCTGTCCCAAGGCTATTCTTTGCCATGCATCGATAATGACCACCATCTTCCCTTTGAACATTGTGAATCCTCAAGCTGCCTGATTCAAGAATAGCAATCCGAGTATTTTCCTGCCAAAAAAGACCTCAGGGTGAGATGAGAGAGGGCATGTCAGGAGTGAGGAGCTTTCAGGCTGGGGCCCACTGTCACCCAATTATGTCCTGCACCCCCTGCCTACCACATCCCTCCACAGCAAAGGGGCACTGCCTGTAATTCAGTAGCCACATAATAAAAGGAAGCATGCTTGGCCCATCCCTGCCATTGCTCTCTACACATGGCTTTCTGGGAGATCTAGACGGCATGGAGAGCCCTGGATTCAGGAAGCTTTCCTCAAGGGCAGCCTCCACATGTGGAAGCCGATAGAAATGGAGTGTTGGCGAGGCCAATGTGTTCCCACTTCTCCCATGTTTACTGTGCTGTCCTTTAGAATGCCTGAATGGGACTTGAACTTACATTCAAACACCAACTCACCTTTATAAGGTTTTCTCCTTTGACCCAGGATACTGAAGGCTTGGGGTTCCCCATTGTGGTGCAGGGAAAAACGGCCTTTAATCCTTCAATTATTTTCACATTTGAAGGTGGGCGGGTTATTTTGGGTTCTGAAATTTTAAAAGATCAAAATGAGATGGAAGTCACAACCACATAGTAACAAGTGACACAGATATATAACACTTTCCCCCACAGATTAGAAAATGGAACCAATTTTTTATTACAAACTAGCCCGAAGGCCCTGTAATACAGAGGGTGGGAAGATATTTCAACTGGAAAAAAGAGGAAGGGGAGAATCCTGAAGTCTGCTTCACGCACATTCCCCAGGCCAAGCTTGGGAGTGGAGAGGGAAAGGGTCCATTTTAGCAGAACCCAGTAATGCAGGGTGCGGGGACAACTCAGACTGCAACTGCATTACCATGACAAGGAGAAACAAGACAAAATCATGTATCCTGCTAGGGGAGTTTTAGGGAAATGTCTTTTATGCATCTGTGTTCGCATTGGCTAGCTCTTGTGAGATTTGATGGACCCAGTTAGAAGCAAAGTTAGAGCAGAGAATACAGCGGGTTGAACTTGTAGCTGCTGGCTCAGGCTTTCTCTAGAACAGAGAGGACATCTTCTGGCATTTGTCCAAAACAGTGACAGCTAGAAGTGGGGCCTTGCATGCACCCTATATCTCTCCCCAGTCCCCGCCCCCCCAGGCACTATCTTAACTGAAGGAGGCAGGGGATAGCATAGACTTTGGGGGCAGGGCTGTTCTGCCTGACCTCCTCTTGCCCTGATTATAATGTTTTTTTTTCTCCTCACATCACCTCTCCCTCCCCTCTGTCTGTGCACAAGGAACTCTGGAACAGCAGGGAAGCTCAAATGATAAGACCAAAGCCCATCTTCATCTGAACAGAGCTTGAGACTTGTCATTTGAGAGTTGGAGAGATCTGTGTCTCCCTGTGCAAAGTGGAACTACCAGTTTCAGAACTGGAGTGGAGTGGAGTGAACACTAGTATAATCAGGGTCCTTGATCACAGGGACAGCAGGGTGGGGAACTAGCTTGGTAAAATACTGTTTTTCTATGCTTTTGTGTATACTTTACTTCAATTTGATGCATCATACTGAGGGATCAAACAGACATGATTTTAAAAGTGCACCTAGCTGCTATGCCTTTTTCCTTATAGAATTGGGTCTAATCTGACTCCTATCCAGTTTAGGGGCCCTGCACCTACTCTAGAGTAAAAATGTAGAGGAGCCGTAGCTGCTAGGCACACTTTGAAAGCCACATCTGCTTGAGCTAAAAGTTCTAACTGGCATAGACTTCACAAATGCATTAATCTAGTATTACTGGGAACAGTTTTCCCTAGCTGGATTTTTAAAAGAAGATTCAAATTTTGCTCTGAGAAATGCTGCCTGGCTCAGTTTTACCAGACATGAGTCATTTTGCTGTAATTGCTCAAGGCCTTCATTAATTGTGTTATTTAGACCTTCTGGTCATATCTAATTTATTTCCAACAGTAAAATATGCAAGCCTAAGGAGCGAAAAGCAGCTATCTGATGTTTGTATCTAATGATTTGTACAGATGTCTTATGGGCCAATGTTATTATTTGACTGAAAACTCAGCAGAACTATTGCATAGTAGATCATTTGGCAATTGTGATATCAATTGCATTATGCAATACATTATCAGATACTCTTGCCTATTTGGGAATTTTCTTACATGAGAAAGACAAACCATGGCATTTACTATGAAGATCTTCCTTCAATTAGTGTGGCTCATAGAACAGATTTCTTTCTGCTGCTGTCACAAAGGTTCCCTGTGCCAAAACTACCCCTCATCATGTGAATAATGAACCCTTGCTGTCCTCTGGAAAGATCGGATCTGTAGCTTAGGAATGCTCCTGGATCTGCAGAAGTTTTAAAAAGTTGCAGGGAGCTGAGGAAGTGTTGAAAAGATGGCAAATACTGAGAATTCCCAGTTCAGTATAAAAAACTGAGATGTTAACTTTGCTAAGGATTAGATTCACCCCGCACCCTGCCACTTCTAGTGAACCTTCTGTCTCTGTTTTTCTGGTCTTTCTCTATAACTTCTCGATTTAACTGCTAGGCACTTAACCCTTGGGAACTGTGCACTAGAAATGTGTGAAGAACCATTGGATTCCCTTGGCTGTGCTCCCCAGATTCTGATCTACTTTGACACCACTGAGCCCAAGCACCTGGCAAATGCATCCACTGTTCACGTAGTTATCACCAGGAATCAAGCCCCATGTGCTGTGTAAGCAGCATCTTTCTTCCAGCTTTTGTTTGTGATGTTCCATGAGCCCCTGAGTGTTCATGAACTTCTTTCAGCTCAGTTCGCAGACTCACAGCCTAAACTGCCTGGCAGGTTTATTGTGAGGATGAAATAAACTGAAGGAGAGCAAGGTAAACTGTCTCCAGCACCTTGTATGATGAAAGAAGGGAAAAGGTGGGAAGGTATAAATTGGTGTCGTGCAATAGCAGGGTTGGACCCAATGGCTTTCAAGGCTCCTTCCAACTCTATTATTCTATGAAACCAGTATTATTATTCTATGAAACCAATAAATACATATACCTAGAGAGGAAGAGAGACTGGGACGTAAAAACTACCAAACTCAAGGCAAAAAAAAAATACTGCCTATTTTTCTTTTTTCACATGAATTGGAGCTTCAATTCAGTCCAGGGTACAGATACTTACTCATTTTCACCTGTAATGCACCACAGCTTTCCGTCGGTACTCCCACTCCGTTGTTTGCAGTGCAGCAGTAAACCCCATCATCGCTATCCTCCACACTCAGAATAGTCAAGAGCTGTCCATTTTCCCGTATGCTATACCGTGTGTCAAAGAGCCTGAGAACATGTTGAAATGCATCAAAAGGGACCTCGAAAAGGACTGCACGCTCTAAACCTGAGCTCATTCAAGGCTATTGACTAGCCCAGGGGATCTCAGACTTTCTACCTGCAAGGCCCATTCAAAAGACTTGACAAGAGCTGGGGTGGGGGGGCGTGGTAGTGGTTAAGAGCACAGGTCTGGGACTCGGGGGACCTGGATTCTACTCCTTCCTCATCCATGGAGCCAACTCAGTGACTTTGGGCCAGTCACTGACTCTCAGCCCAACCTACCTCACAGGGTTGCTGTTGTGGAGGTAAGACTGAAAGTAGGAGAAAGATAAGTATGTAAGCCGTTCTGAATTTTTAAAAATTGGGAAGAATGTGAGATATAAGTTTAATAAATAAATAAAGTAAAAGTTGAAAATGACTTTGGCCCAATGATCACAGAATGGAGCCAGATGGAGGCTCTCCTCTGTCCCCTTTCTAATTTTTCTTCATCTTTCTTAAATCTTGGTGCCCAGAACTAGACACACTATTCCAGATGAGGTCTGACTAGTGAGAAGTATAGGCGAACTATTACTTCTTGTGATATGGAAATAACACTAGACTTGCTCTGAAATACACTGTGGAATGGTTGGAGAACACAGACGAGGCCCCAGAAGTTGGCAACATCATGAAATGGCCCCACAAACTTCCGTGTGAAGGATTGTGTGTGCACCATAAATGTCTTGCATAAAAAACACCTCAGGATGGAGTGTAAAAATAATGGTAGCCAAATAGCACTTAGGCATTTTGTTATGTATTCTGGAAACATAAAGGTTTTTGTATCTCATTGCTGGAAAGACTTTGTAGTTCATTTGCACAAATAAATGTTATTGTATTTTAGTGTATGAATGTTTATTTTGCATATATTGCTGTTCTGGTTTGTATACTGCCCAGAGAGCCCTGGAGGGCTACAGGAGCAGTATAAAATTTCTTAAACATAGAAGCAGAGCAAGTCAGAAGGGATCTCCTGGGCCATCTAGTCTGACCTCCGGCTCCAGCTGGCTCCACTCATGACATGCCTAAAACAAACGAACAAACAATTCTTACCTAATTGGAATGTTATTACGTGTCCAGGTAACCTCTGCCTGGGGAAAAGATTCTACTACACAAACAAAGGTGGCCGCTTCCTCAACCAGGGCATCCACTGTTTCAAGAGGAGTGGTGATTATGGGCGCTGTCAATGAGAAAAAATAGAGATGATGGAGATTACTTGACAAACTAGTCATCTTTCCGACTCAGCTGGGCAAATATCTACTTTTTATCAAGAAAACTGCCCCTCAACCCCCCAAGAAAATTAATAAATTGAATAGCAGCTTAGAAGCAGAGAGCACAACTGAAAGCACAACCATCACTATCTGCAGGACCAAAAATGGGTACCAAAGAGGAGCAAACAAGACAAGCTGGAGATGCTCTCCAATAACCTTTCACCTACACACTAAGGCCCTCCTTTCAAACCTAAAATGTTGGTTTTCAGTCAGGAAGCTCAGCCCTAAGAAATCTCTCATGCATAAATTAGAATTAAGAGTGTAGAATTGAGACTCAGGAGATTAGGATTCTAGTCCCCACTCAGTCAAAGAGCTCACTGAGTGACTTTGGGCCAGTCACAGACTCTCAGCCCAACCGACTTCCCTGGATTATCGCAAAGATAAGACTGAGAGGAGGAACATTAGGTAAACTCTGAGCTGCTTGGAAGGAAAAATGTAGACAACAACAACAAAAACAACAACAACAACAATAATAGATGTGAACCACTGCCAATCATCCCATCAAGACATTATCAAGAAATTCTTTCAGGTTTGATTTCTTGCCTATAAGCAGAGCCCAACTTGTGCCAAATTTCACCTGAGGCACCATTTCAGTGACAGCTCCAAGAAATACCCTCAGTCTACAGCAGGAGTCTCAAACTCAACTTACCTGGGGGCCGCTGGAAGTAGAGGGTGAGGCTGGGCCGCATCAAGTATTCCACAAAAAAAAAAGGATTTCAAGTATTCCTAAAAAAGTACAACTGATCCAATCTTCTCAATCTTTACTAATAATAATTCAGAACATGAACAGTTCTTCAGAACATAGGCTTCTCTTACTTCCTCCTACTCCTTGCTGCCAGAGACCTGACAGTGCTTCCTCTTGCACAGCTGAGCCACATTTGGCTTGAGGGAGGAAGCAACTGAGACCCTCAGTATGGCTTGAAGATGCTCATCAGTAAGTTTGGACCTGAACTTTAACTTATTAAAGGTCATGGTGGAGAAGAGCTTTTCACACAGATAGGTGTTCCCAAAAAGGCACATGGTCCGCTTGAACATCCTGAAAAGCTCAGGGAAGGTAAGGGGCAATTCTCTCAAAAATTGTCCAAGCTTGTGTCCTCCTGGAGGCCAGCCCAGGCGCCGCTGGCACTTTGAAGGCCGCAGGGCCCCTCCCCTGTGCCCTGCCCATCCCGGCACGCAGCTTAGAGGGAACATTGTGCCCAGGGTGACAATTCACGCAGGTGCGTGTGAGAAAAACATGCGGGCCGCACTATCACTAAACTTTGATATCAAGTGGGGGCCACAGAATATCATCCCACAGGCCACAATTGGCCCACGGGTCGCGAGTTTGAGACCCCTGGTCTACAGCAATGTCACAATAAGGCATGCAGCTATTTTCTTTTTCTTTGGAAGTGTTGCACTTGCTCAGCTAATCATGCTCTCTTTTTTGCAATTGTGACTCATGCTCAGCAGATCTGGGCTACTGGAGGAGATATGGGTGGTGAGGTGTGGATGGTGAGGACACGTGCCATTCCTCCTCCATGAGGATGTGGGGGTTGGGGGTTGGGCAGAGAATGTAGGAGCAATCAGCCAATCAGCTGTGATAGGGAAGGAGTCCAAAAATGAAAGAGCAATGTGGTTGGCGATCTGATGTGGGGCCGCCACCCAAGTTATTTGAGGAGAAACTGCATGCACAAGGAAAAGGCAGAGTAATGTGGATCTGCCTTTGGAGATTTTGCAGTGCTGAGTTGAGCAAAACACTCAGCGATGAGAAAATATCTAGCTTAATGCCAAGACTAAGTGCGCCTGTCAGAGCATGGCTGCCAGCTGGTTTGCAGACCTAGTGGCTGAGGCCTTGCTTACACAACATGGATGAGAACTGGAGGAGAGGCCACTTGCCGGGGGGGGGGGGGGTAGGAGAAGCACCACCCATGGTCCAGAAAAGCCCCCAGCAGCTTCAGTGGCAAGGCCTGGAAGCAAATTTGTCCCTACTCAAAAAATAGCGTTGATTACTTGTTTAGTGCAATGCTCAACATGGCTCTAAATTACTGTGGCTGCATTTATCGCATGTCATAATATTAGGATTAATGGAGATCAAGGGGGCACCTCCTATGAATTCTTCTCCCTCTCCATGCAGCTCTTGGCACACAAAGCCAACTGTGAACAATTCTTTCAATGTATGCCTGCCAGACACATCTATCTAGGCTTGGTGTACCAGATACTGTTGACAGCTATGTTCGGCGCTCGCTTTTTAGTGCACTACTGGGAATGCTAGGAGGGGTGAGGAGAAAACCCCCCTTTCACCTTCACAGAATGCTAAAACGTTGCCCTGCCCAGAGATCAGTTACCAGATGGCCATCATTACAAAGGCTGAGTGAGGTGAGCTTATGTTGAGGGTAAAGAAGAAAAAGGCTCTCTGAGAGGCCTTGTGACAGATACGGTCTTCCATGAAGGTCTTCCTTTGGCCCTCAGCCCCTCTCAAAAGTGGGACATTGTCCCCCAAAACTTCTCCAAAATTGAATTCAGCCCTCAGGCTCCCTGCATAGGTCTAGGTCTTGAATCTTATTGCTGGACCTGGAGATCCCACTAGTGACAGAAAACTTTCCATATTATAATTCTGTGGAGGTATATAGGCCATACAATATTGTACAGGGTGTCCCAAAAAAATTGACATTATTTGAAATGTGAATATCTGAGTAACTACATGTCCTAGGCAAATGAAATTAAATAGGCTTCATGTTGAACAATAAAAGATTTATTTATCAAAATTCAAACAAGAGATTCAAAGAGATGTAGATTTTGTAACCGATTTCACAAAGCTTTACAAATGTTCAATATGCACACCGCCTGTGACATGACACACGTCAAGTCTGTAGTCCACCTCCTGCCAAACATGCTGTAGCATGTCTTGCGTAACATTGCGTAGCTAACCTTAGGTAGTTTTTACACATTTTGTTAAAATTTGAGATCATTTGAGCGAGAATTGGCTATGTTATTAGACTACGAAATGATGTCATTTTTCTTGGGACACCCTGTATACTCCTCAGTATGCGAGTAAAGCGTATCCAAGGAAAATGCAGCAAAATATGTGATTGAAAAGATGTAACTTGCAGGTTTACCCCTCAGGTACTTTGGCCATGGATGCTTGGCAGACTAGTGATGATGCCAATCTTTATAATGGCCCAGTTCAGAATAGTAATTTTTGTCCATTGAGTGCATTGATATTCCTTATCCTTTTTTTAAAAAAAGGTTTATTTTTTCTTGTATTTTCATGTATAATTTTCTTCATTAAATCAGCCGCCCCACCATTTTTTCACATCTTGATCATCTGAAGTAGAGTATTCTTCTCCTTGACATCTTCCTCCCACTTGTGTTGTAAGCTGGGCCAAAGAAGAGACCCTACCTGCATCTACCCCCTTTCCCTTCTATGCTTCATTTATGCAATGGCAGAGAAAGAGGGAGGCCTTTTCTGTCTCGGCTTGCACCATAAAGAAGGGGAGGGGGCAGAAGAGAATGGGAGACCCTTTTCTCTGCCTCCACCACTAGCAAAGCTTCAGCATTAGCTGCCACAGCCCCAGCCAGAGGAAGGATGTTTGCAGGACTCACAAAGCGCTAAGTAAGAAATCCTGGTGCCCCATAACCAGTGATGGGGCCCAAGTTGCTTTCAGAAATGCACTTGGAAATAACGGGCCTGTTTTCCATTTGGTTTACTTGGGAGAACATTTGGTTGGCAGGGCCCAGTTTGGCATCGTAGGGGCCATGTGTGTGTTGTCCATCAGGTGTTCTGCCATGTGAAACAGAGAGTGTGGTGGGAATCGGCAGGGCCTTTCATATTCCTGAGGGCCCATGGGATTGAGTGATCTCCTACTGATACTTGTAGCTATTGCTGAGCTCAATATCTGGAAAGTGGTACAAGGCACGCTGCAAGACAGGCTTGTTTATATCTTAAATGCCTCGCATGGCATGTGATGATCAACAAATGCCTTGACATGATTTTGTGTTTTTGGTGAAAGAATCCAGTGCTGATGTTTTTTGGAGGGATGCTAACTTCTTTTTGCCTCCTTTAGGCAGGAAAAGGAAATGAGTGCTATCCATTATTTATATGCAACAAAGAGCCTTGTGGCATCAGCTTTTGAAGGCCTGGAAACTAACTGGGAGCAAATGTTCTGTGCATGTGACTCAGTCTATTTATCAAGTTGACAGCAGTATGCAGTTGAACTGTTTACACAACCTTTGATGCCAATATCTGAATTAATTTCATTCAAGCACTTGGTAAGTCTTCCTTCCACTCCATTTTTGCACACAAAAAGTAATCATGCCAAACTGATAAAAATGCTGTTTGCATAACCAATGGCTCTAGTGGCCAAAGTAGAAGTTGCCTGCAATTTCACCTCTCTTTTACCTTCAAGGTTGGGATTTTTGACTGAAAAGCAGCCTTGGAGCCTGCAGCTGAGAGCAGAAAGTTGCTTGCAGGAGGAACAGCTAACCCTTTCCTTTCATGATATATATCCACTAAAAACTCCCTCCTTCAATCTTTTTCCCAGCTACAGACCAGGGGGTGGGGGAAGAGGAAGGGTCCCCATGGTTCTCTTTTATGCTTACAAAGGTAATTAGGGAGAGGCAGAGTTGATAAAGGCTTAAGCTGTTCCTCCCCCTCCCCCCATATGCTTGTCCTCCACTTTCTATTTCATCTTTCCAAAGTTTCCTTAATTTAAAATCATAGAACTCCTGGAATATGTAGTTTGTCCACTATTGTATCTGTTACATATCTATTATGCACACATTTTGAAATCAATCATACTTCAGATGGATTTTGCATACTGATATAGATGGAATCTTTCTGTCTGTCTCTGTCTCTCTCACACACACACGTTTTCAAAATAATTTTCAGTTCCAACTTTAAAAGTTACATTTTGTACATATGTATATACTGTTTATATACTGTTTCAGTGATTTTTATGCAATAAAGCTGCATTCTGCTATGCCATTCAAAATAAAAATAAAAATGGAGGTCTAAGCCCAAAATTAATTGAACTGTGCCTTTTATTATTCACAGAATTAAATATCTGTGTCTGTGTTTATATAACATAGGAATAGCTATCTATCTATCTGCGGGAGGAGAAGCATTCCATTTCTAGACTTGGTCATTTTGTGCATGCTCACCCATATGTCTATTCTGTCCTATTCCTGCATTAATATATGTGAAGCTTTTTAAAAAAATCTACATGCATATTCACATTTCAATGCACCCTGACATACTTTCTGTCAAAACAGGCCTTTCTGAATGGACGTTCTCTTAAAATGCGCCTTTTAAACTGTATATCCATATGTTTATAAGTGCACCTGGAACGAGCGAAAGCCAGCGGATAATGAATGGTGTACCAATTCACCTCGGAGCAAATCCCAGTGAAGCCCATGGAAGATATCTCTGCGTAGGCATGTTAAGGATGTCATGGCAAGGCTGCAAGGCTATGCTCCCTTACCTGGGAGGATATCAGAAGGAATATAGTGGGGCTTACATCAGAGTAAATATATGGAGGAAGAGGATTGCATGGTAAGTTCTGACATTCATGATAATCCAGGAGATATAAATCATATCTGTTTGTATTGGAACAGGCAAAGACTGGATTCCTCAAGCACGATTAAGTCCCATTTATTTAAATAGGTCTTCTCTAAGCATGGTAATGTCTGTACCCAATCCCTGTTATCTGTCTGTCTGTCATGTATCTATTGATCTATCTAGAATACCTCTAAGCATTTGTTCCAGGCAGGCTAATCATACGCATATTACCTGGATCTGAATTCGATAAAGTAACAATTGCAGGGCTGTTGACCAAATCATATTCTGCAAACAGTACACTACAAACAGTTTCCATCATATCACTTCTGTTTGACACCGAATATAAAGACTTCCCACATAAGTGGTGCAGAAGAATTCCTGTATCCATCACAACACAACCTACGGCGATTTGAAAATACAAACAATGTACCGGCTCCTTCATAGCGAAGGCAATTTGCGATGTAATCATGGGAGAAAGGAGTTCATTCAAACAGATCTCAGTGGCTTATATAGTTATTCCATCGCCTGGGTTGCCCCGGACTGTAAAGATATCACCAGTGGCAAAGCAAAGAGAAGATGTAATGCCGTTTGCACCAACCTTTGGGGAGTTTCTCTGCCAAGCTGAAAGCAGCCAGTGTGAAGATCTGTACAAGTGGAATGTTGAGCAAGTCTTTCATGATTAATCCAGCGGGGGAGGGAGAATGGGATTCGACGTCTTTAGTCAAAGACAAGCATATTCCTCTTTGGCTGCTGAATTTTTACAGCATGGTTCATCACAAAGTTCCTCTCAGCCACTGACTCTGTGGGTTCTAAGTATAATCAGGAATTCTCCGACTTGGCTGGAGTGATGGACGTGACCAGCTGGTGTGCTTCCACTTAGGTCAGTATCAAAAACATGGGGGCTCATGAAACAAGAGAACACAAATCCCTTTTGAATTCCTTTTAAGCAAACAGTGAGGAGCACAATGCCTCAGTGCCTTTCTAAAATAATCACTTGGCTTGGTTCATCAGAAGGTGTTAAGGCTTCCACGCCAGCCACAAGCAAATATGCTCACTGTTCTCCCTGAATATTCTGTTTTTAAAACTCCCTCCCTCACTGCAACAGACTGTAGCTGTTCATTCACTTTTGTCCACATTCAGTTTGTTTAAAATCTCAAGTTCTTTTTTCTCCCAAATATGAAGAATTCTGTACATTTGGGCAAGATCTTTATGACATTTCTGTTCCAGCAACATTCTTGTTCATCAATAGTACAGCTATATCCAAGCATGGAGAAAACCTGATGTAGCTGTTGCTAAAGATTAGCAGTCTGTCCTGGGGTGGGGGTGGGGGGATTGGGTGGCAACCTTAATTCAGGACTAATATTATTGAATGCACAGGTATTCAAAGTCAGCTTTCAAAGCTCTGAAACTGGATGGATGCCTCCGTTTTCTCCCACTTCTGTTGTTTTGAATATCAAGGTTTTTTTGCCCTCAATATGGAAAACATAGCACATTTGAGTAGATTCTTAGCAAAAGTGAACTAGAATTAAATTCTCACCCATCCTTTCAACAAACGAAAGGGCCATATAAGCCATTTTGGGAAATGCACCTGAAGGCAACAATGAGCTTTCCATGAACTTCAGGTCACTCAAACTGCAGGTTGTTAGTCCATTTAGCCCACTAGTATTGCCTATGGCAGCCTTCCCCAACCGGTGTACCCTGCAAATGCTTTGGACTTCAGTTCCCAGTATCCCTTACCATTAGCTAGGCTGATGGGATTTGAGGCCCAAAATAGCCAGAGGGCACCAGACCAGGGAAGGCTGGTTTGCTCTAACTGGCAACAACCCTCCATGTGCACAGACAGACTCCTTTTCTAGCCTTCTAAATTAAGATCCTTCTAAGCATCTGTTCTACCACTGAAAACAACACCAATTTTCCACTGGGGTTTAGAATTTAGAAGCATCTAGAATTTAGACATATCTCCTCCTCTGAACATGAAGCTTTCATTTAGCTATCATGACTAACCTTCCTCTTCTTAATTTTATTTTGATCAAGAATGTTTCTTGATCAAGAAATACTCAAACAGCAAATTCGTTCTCCAAATATGGACCCTTAGGCAGGCAGAACCATCCTATCCATGCTCAAGAGGGAGGTGTTACCAAGCTTGTAGAAATCCTGAGGGGTGTAAAAATACAATAAGCCTTTCATTACAATAATTTAAAAATAACCCTTCTAAAGGTTGGGGGGTGCCCCAAAATAGCTCAGTGAGTGCTGAACATGCTCAGCAGATGCAAAATACGAAGTGGATACTGCTGGGGTGTGACTGAAAACTTGGGTGATAGAGCGTAATATCCCTGGAAAGGGCATTGCTGACTGGCTGGCTGGAATCCTGAACAGAAGCACTTTCCACTTTTAACCATAAATGAGTCCTGTAGAAGACTAAACAGGATGAAAATACATTGAATGAAAGGAGAGCTGGCCTGGCTCAGGCCAACAGTCTGTCTGGGTCAGCATTCTGATCCTTCAGTGGCCAAGCAGATACCCCCGGGAAGGCTACAAGCAGAGTGTGAGTGCAGAAGCACCTTCATATTCTCCAACAACTGGTATACAAATGGATAATGGAACTAATACATAGCCATTTTGACTAGTAGCCATTGATCAACTTATCCTTCAAGGAAGTATGCACCTGAGTGAATATCATCACAGCCTTGGCCAGGTTCAGACACATCCACATTATATATCCACATCCTGGTTTCATCTCCTGGACAGAAAAGAGATGAAGGCACAATTTCCTAGTTCAGACATAATTTAGTATTTTACCAAAGCTAGATGGACAAAGAGAGGGCATAGACATGAATTCAAGTTTTGCTCTCAGTCCGATAAACCATGGTTTATATGCCCAGGACAATGAATATACTTGCCTTGTGCGCAAGTTAATTTTAAAACTTAATTATGCACTGTGTGAGGAAATCAAAGATAAATTGGAACATACTTGTTTAGTCACCTGATCATCCATTTTACTCTGGGTTTCTTGTTTGTTTTTGTTTAACTGCAGAAGGGTCTTCTTTGCTAGCTGAATTTATGCATCATACTAAGTTACCCTCTGAATAAGCCATCCTGGTTAGGTTGTGCACTGAACAGCCTACAGTATTCCGGATAGGTCATCAGGCTTACCATAGTTTTTTATCCTCTTCACTTCCTCTCAGTCTTCCCACTAACTCCAGCATATATCCCATGAGCCTCTGTGGCAGAATCCCACATTGCCTCACTCCTTACATCAGCACCCTTCCTGCATTTGGTCTGCTGGGGCTGTTGGTGACTGAGAGAAACTCCCCTTACCTGCCCCACATCAACTTACCAAATGAAATTAATTTTCTGAACCTTTTATGGATGTAGTTGTGTGATCATCATCAGCTTTGCAATACTCCATCTCTCTGCCATTTAGCCAAGCATCTATCTCTTCCTCTTCCACTTATCACTTACATTACTAGCTATCAACCAACTTTAGAAGAAAACAGGTTGCTTCACATTACTCTGAAGTAAGCACATCTACTCCCAAAACACCCCTGCCTCTCAAATATTTAGCTAAGTGTCCCTATATTGCCCACTTCTTCACTTAAGTTGCTAAGTAGCAAATGCCATTCTTTTAAAAATGCTAATATATGTTGCCCTAAAGTAAGCCCACCCGCTCCCAAAGTAGGAATACCCACTGGGAAACTGTGTTCTCTCCAGGAGCTTTCAGTTCCCCCTTCCCCATGCCTCTTCCTGTTTGTTGGTCCCTTCCATTATGGGCTATACAGCAGTGAGTGGGATCATGAGACATACCCCAACATCATGGCAAAGCAGTAACATGTATGTGAAAATTGCAGAAATATTAATAAAATTGCACCAGTCATTTATTCCTGTGCTTTATTTATTTATTTATTTATTTATAACATTTCTATGCCGCACCCATCGCAGAAGCCTTGGGGTGGCTCACAAGGAAAAGGTTTTAAAGGTTGTGAATATTCTCAGGACACTCTTTAGTGTCATTTCTTCATAATTTTTAGAGGCATGGGGTGGGAGATGCTGGGAAGAGATGAGGGAAGATGGCAGTGGCACAGTTGCAAGGAATGCTGGGGCTTTGGCCATTCTGACCTGGCAGCTGACTAGCCATTCCCGGCAACCCATGATAAAATTGCCCTGCCCAGTTTGGATGTCACAACAAACCACCACAGCTGTGAACATACCAAAAACATGACATAGGCTTGTCTGCAGAAACTCTGCTGGGTTCACATGATAGGACAGCTGAACACAGCTGATTACACATGATGGGTTGTCATGCATGCAAATCAGGACACTCTATGAACTGAAAGTAGATGTTGCTGCACTAAAAGACAGATATAAACTGTTTATTTACTTATTTATTTGGGATATTTCTAACCTGTCCAATCCAGTTGCTTTAATATCTGGAGTAGAGAGCAAAAGCAGAGTCATGTCTTGGAAATAGATTCTGAGCTAGGCAAGTTTATAGGAACTGAAAGATGAATAGCTGGAGAGGAAAGTTCAGAAATTGCTGCCCAGGGAGACAGTACATTTTATTATCATGCCAGGAATAGTCCTGTGAATTGAGATAACTAGCATCTGAAAGACTCATTATGCAGAATACATATGTTAAGTTACTGAAAACATAAACTTATCTCTTTACGGATAGTCAAAACATCTTTGCGTTGCATATAGCAAAGCTAAAACTTCTTCATAAATGCATTTTTCTTGCATATTGAATTTTTCATTTTAATAAAACATTTTTAAAACCAGAACAAATTTCACTTCATTAGCGACTAGCATACATTGTATTATCAATTCTGTCTCACAAAAAGCAAGTAATTCTACATTGGGTTCTGAATCAGTAAAGACCTCATCATTGACATAAATTGCCCATAAACTTTTAGTTCTAAATGTATCAACTTTAAGTCTTTCTTTGCTTCAGACGGCCAAAAAATTTAATATCCCCTGAAAGTTTGCAGTGCATACCATCACACAGGTGTTAAAATATATTAAATAAAAACATGATCTTTCTGCTCTTTAATCACCTCTTGAACAAAAAACACTGGATCAACACATGGTTCAGTCTTATCTCTTCTTTTAAAATGGACTTTATATGAGGGCATTTGAACCCAAAATGCAAATACATCCCTTTCAGACCATGGTTGTTACAAGAGTGACCTTGGATTTCAACATGCTGCATCCCCATTTTATGGTGTAATTCCTATGACAAGAAGCAATATTTTGGACTACAGCTGCCATCAGCCCTAACCATCAGCCATGTTAGCTGAGGCTGATGGAAATTGCTGTTCAAAGCCCAATCTTAAATTAAAACTGTATGGTGGGGGGAGACCTGGCACTCTTCTGTATTAGGTATTTTCTGTAGATTTGCCATACATTATTCATTTTCTTTTGACACGGCTTTTACTCACCCTCAGCATCAAACAGTTGCTCTCTTCTGTTTTCTCTATGTTTCTTCTGTGTTTTTCAGACTACAGAAATCCAAAGTGCAGGATAGCAATGCAATACGTGAAGATGTAGATTGTTCTTAGGGGTACTCTTCTACCTTTTTTGAAAAGTATGGTTTGGCATGTGTGGAGATTATTATTTTTCAATTTTCAATTTGTCAGATGTGTCAGATGGGTAAGCCTATTGCCACGTGTTACCAGTGCTCCATGCCTCCACAATCCTCCTTTTGGTCAGAACCCCTGACTCAGCATGGTGCCCCCACCCC